TCAAAAGAGCTGGGAGGTCAACCAAAGATCAAAATAATATCCATGTCAAAGAAGGGATAAATGTAGGAACAGAGATCCAGGTGGTGAGGATGTCAGGTAGATTACAGGATACAATAGAGTCTCTTAAATGGAGAGAAAAGTTAATAGACTATAAGGTAACCACAAAGAAAGTTAATACTTCACAATTTACCATGAAAATGAACTTCCAAGCAGAACAAGCAAACATGAAAACTGAGAAGAAACCAACAAGAAATAGCACAAAAAACACAAACTCAGTACAAGAAGGCATGCAGAACAAAGGAACGAACAGCACTACCAAAAAAAATGTATATATAATGGCAGCAATTAATTCATACCTATTGATAATTACATTGAAAGTCAATGGATTGAATACACGAGTGAAGAGACAGAGAATAGCAGATTGGATAAGAAAACAAGACCCTTCAAAGACACACAAGAGACACCCTTACAGAAAAGGATGGAAAAGAATATACCAAGCTAACTTCAACATTAAACAAGCAGGAGTAGCAATTGTAATCTCTGATAAAATAAACTTTAAGACAAAAACCAGCATAAGAAATAAAGAAGGACATTATCTCATGATCAAAGGGTCAATTGAGCAAGATGACATAACCATAGTAAATATTTACACTCCCAATGAAAAAGCATCAAGATATATGAAGCAAACCTTACTAGAACTGAAGAAAAAAATAGCTAAATTTACAATTATAGTGGGAGATTTTAATATGCCACTTTTGAAAAGCGACAGAACAATCAGAAAGAAACTTGACAAAGTTACAGAGGAACTAAAACAGCACAATCAACCAACTTGACCTCATAGATGTGTACAAAACATTAAGCCCAACAACAGCATAATATACTTTCTTCTCCAGTGCACATGGAACATTCTCCAGAACCGACCACATGTTAGGTCACAAAGCAAGCCTCCCTAAATTTACAAACATCAAAATACTACAAAGCATCTTTTCAGACCACAATGTGGTCTGAATAGAACTAGAAATCAACAATTAGAAGACTAAGGTAATAAAGTCGAATACATAGAAACTGAAGAAAACCCTGTTGAAAAGTGACTGGGTAAAAGAATAAATTAAATGTGAATTCATAAGTTCCTAGAAAAAAAAGAGAATGAAAACACAACATACCAAAATCTTTGGGACACGGAAAAAGTGGTGCTGAGAGGACAATTTATTGCAATAAATGCACAAATCCAAAAAGAAGAAAGAACCAAAATTAACACAGTAAATTAGAAATTAGAAACTGTCACCAAAAGAAAATAAATAATAAAGATAAGAGCAGAAATAAATGAGATAGAAAACAGAAAAGCTATAGAAAGAATCAAGAGGACAAGAAGCTGGTTCTTTGAAAGGATTAATAAAATGGCAAATCATTGGCAAACTTAACAAAAGAAAAGAGGGAGAAGACACAAATAACTCACATTAGAAACCACACGAGATGTCACAATGGAACCAAACGAAATCAAAAGGATAATAACAGAATACTATGAAGAGTTGTACTCCAACAAATTCAAAAACTTAGAAGAGATGGATACATTTTTTTGAAAAACATGACCTACCAAAACTTTACACAGAGTGAAGTAGAAAACTTGAACAGACCCATAACAAAAGAAGAAATTGATCAGGGCATCAAAACACTTCCAACCAAAAGAAGTCCAGGCTCAGCTATCAGGGAAGAGTTGTCACCAATTCTACTCAAATTATTCCAGAATATAGAAGAAGACAGAAAACTTCCTAACACTTTTTATGAAGCAAGCATAACCCTCCTACCAAAACCAGGAAAGGACATCACTAAGAAAGAAAACTACAGACTAATCAATATCCCTCATGAACATAGACACAAAAATTCTCAACAAAATCCTAGCCAACAGAATCCAGCAGCATATCAAAAAAATATTATATCTTGACCAAGTGGGTTCCATAAAAGGGATACAAGGATGGTTCAACATTAGAAAAGCAATCAATGTAATCTACCACATAAATAAGAAAAAGGAAAAGAACCACATGATCATATCGACTGATGCAGAAAAGGCATTTGACAAAATCCAACATCCATTCCTGATAAAAACACTCAACAAAATAAGAATTGAAGGGAAATTCCTCAACATAATCAAGAGCATATATACAAAACTAACAGCCTACATTACTCTCAATGGAGAGAAACTGAAAGCCTTCCCTCTGCTAACAGGAACCAGACAAGGATGCCCTTTGTCACCACTCCTTTTCAGTATTGTTTTGGAAGTATTAGCCAGAGATATATGACATAAAAGGGAAATTAAAGGCATCCAAATTGGCAAAGAGGAAATAAAACTCTATTTGCAGAGGATATGTTCCTATACTTAAAAAACCCCAAAGACTCAATAAAAAAGCTACTAGACATCATTGGAAGATTCAGAAAAGTGGCAGGGTTTGAGGTCAACATACAAAAATCAGTTGCATTCCTCTATAGTAACAATGACAGTGCTGAAAAAGACGTTAGGAAAGAAATGCCCAAAGGATGAAATATTTAGGAATAAACGTAACCAGAGCAACAAAGGACCTATACAAAGGGAATTACAAAACACTAGTATAAGAAACCAAAATAGACTTACAAAAGTGGAAGAACATACCATGTTCTTGGATAGGAAGACTCAACATCGTGAAAATGTCAATACTCCCTAAAGCAATATACACCTATAACGCAATCCCAATCCAGATTCCAACAACATTCTTCAAAGAGATGGAAAAGACAATTACAAACTTTATATGGAAAGGAAGGAGACCCAGGATAAGCAAAGCAGTGCTCAAAAAGAAGAGCAAGGTTGGAAGCCTCTCACTCACCAATTTCAAAATCTACTGCATGGCTACAGTGGTCAAAACAGCCTGGTACTGGTACAATGAAAGATACATTAATCAATGGAACAGAATGGAGAATTCAGATACATACACATACAGCCAACTGATTTTTGACAAAGTGCCTAGGTATGTTACATTGGGAGAAGATAGTCTCTTTAACAAATGGTGCTGGCAGACCTGGAATGCAATATACAAAAGATTGAAACAAGACCTTTACCTCATGCCCTATATAAAAACCAACTCAGCATGGATTAAAAACCTAAATGTGAATCCTAAAATTATGAAAGTCATCAATGAAAAATAGGGACAAATGTGAGGGCTTTAATACAGGGAATACACAGACTACCAAACATTTTGAAAAGTATGCAAACAAAAGTAGACAAAATAGATGAGTGGGACATACTAAAAATTAAAAACTTATGTGCATTAAAAGACTTCACCAAAAGAGTACAAAGGGTAAAAAATATTTTGCAATGACACATCAGATAAGGGCTCATTTCTAAAATATATAGGAAACTACAACACCTCTACAAGAAAAAGACAAATAACCCAATTAAAAAATGGGCACAGGACATGAACAGACACTTCACCAAGGAGGAGATCTGGGCAGCCAACAAACATGAAGAAATGTTCACGATCACTAGCCATTAGAGAGATGCAAATCAAAACAACAATGAGGTATCATCTCACACCAGCAATAACAGCAAAGACCAAAACAGTAGAGGACAATAAATGCTGTGAGGATGCAGAGAGACTGGGATCCTCCTACATTGTTGGTGGGATTGCAAAATGGTCTTCAATTCTGTCTCTGGCAAATTGATATAATTACCTCAGAAACATAACTTTGGAAAACCTTTGCAACACAGGCTCTCTCTTTATTACATATTAGAAGTGCACATGAATCTGTTTTTTTCTAGAAATAATAAAGTTAAAATTGATGCTTAAAGTTTTCTGGGATTCTCAAGGGCCAGTATTAGAACACTTGTCAGGAAAAAAAAATATGAGGGTAAGTTAAAAAGTATTGCTACCGTGTTCCAGTTCATACCAGAAACTTCAAAAAGTTTGTGAGAACATTCTATTATTTTGATTCTATTTTTCCACAATTTGGGGAAAAACTTCTCATATATGCATGGTTTTATGACTTATATATCTTGAGCACTATCACAAATCAATAAGGATGCTGTCACAACTGGTCTCAGGATGTATTCTGGATTCTTAGGGGTTGACATATGTATATATTTAAGGAATTCTTGAATACAAATGATCAACAGGCAATGCTTCAGTGAAATGGGAAAAGAATCTGGTGATCTACCTTCTTCTAAAGTAGTTTTGATTGTCTATAACTGGATAGCAAACTAATTCAAAAGTAATGGTGTGAAACAAAAATAATCATTAATAATAATTCTTTTCTCTCTTGGTTCTGGGAGTCCACTGAGCAATGCTCAATCTTTCTCAAGTAGAATCTCCCATGAAATTACAATCTGGGCTGGAGTCACCTCAGAGACTTTGTCATTCCATTGTCTATGGCTGGTGATGATGATTATGTTGTTCTTAGTTGCTGTTATATGGGTCTGGACTCATGGAAACACCACAGACAATGGTACTAAATGCTGCCCAGGTCCACACCATCCCTGTGATCAGTTGCAGATTATATTGCTTTGTTACACAGAATTTTCAAAAGCTGATTTTTGGAAATAGATTTCTACATCTTTCTTCCAGTTTATCTTTGTCTGAAAGCTGCTGAAACATGTTCAACGTCATGTTGTCATTGTTGTTAGGTACCATTGAGTTGATTTCAGCTTATAGTGACCCAGTCATAGCAACACTGACATCTCTACTGAGAGAGTGGTTGCGTGAGATTCAATGACCAGGGACCAGTCACTTACATGAGAAGAAATAATTCTACTACAGAATCACTAATGCCTCCTGAAGTTGTTGTTGTTGTTAAGTGCTGTTGAGTTGGTTAGGACTCATAATGACCCTGTACAGGGTTTCCTAGCACCAACTGGTGAGCTTAAACCACCGACCTTGCTATTCAAACCTACGCTTATTTAACTGTTCATCACAGCTCTACCAAATTCAGTAAGAAATAGTTGTCTCTGGACAGTGCCATGTCAATTCTACCTATAGGTGCCACTGTTGCTCTCAAGCATTTCTGAGATTCAAGATCGTGTACTAGAAGAGGTTCACAATCTGAATTTTGTAAAGGACAACAATGCCACCTTTATTGAGAGGAAGCTGAGTTTTGAAAAGAAGAAGCCCGCACCAGTTCCGGTGAGTTTGGCATTATTAATGATAACAATTAATATCACCTCTTTCCTTGCTCAAGTCATATCATTATTTTTCATATCACTGAGCCCATTCTAACATACTAAAAGTGCCTACTAATTATGTGTATAATTATTTTTTTCCTTTTTATAACATATATACACTAATGAGGTCATGGATATTTGTTCCATTTGTGTATGATGTATCCTAAGGATATTGATGTAACATAGGCTGTCAGCAAGTATTTGTTAAGTGCATGAATATAATTTTGTATAGAAAGATTATATAATCAACGATTTCATTTTTCCTATACAGGATCCCTGACTCCAGAGAGCAAATGACTTTCTCAAAGTCACTTAGTGACTGAATGCAGGCCTCTTGATTCCTACCTAATTTACTGACATTATATCTCAGAGACTGGCATGCTCATGCTCAATTTGCCTAATGAAACATTATTTATCAAGTGCTTAATATGCAAGAAATTATCCTCTGTGTGGCAAAGAGAGTTTAAAAGTTGCTCAACATTCAATAGCAATTATAACCTCTGTGGCTTGATTTTCAGTTGAATGTTCTTTCTTCTCTACAACACTGCCCCCATGTGCTAGCAACAGGATTCCTTACTAAATAATTCAGCTGGGTCCTTCATAATAATAACCTCATCAATTTAGCTTTACCCTAAAATAATTACAAATGAACATATGACTATTATATTTGCAAAATCTCCAGGGAACAATATTTACCAGCTCAATAAAGACTTTGTTATACATTTATCTAAAGTAAAAATTCCCCTTACTTTTCTCAGCCAGAAATGCCACGTCAAACTGACATTCACCGCTCCAAACTTCTATCTACATACAGTGCAGAGGAATTATACCAAGCTAAGCGTAATTGCAATGCTACACAGGAATATGATATCAATCTTCTGGAAGGAGACTTGGTGGCTGTGATGGAACAGAAAGATCCATTGGGGAGTACGAGCAGATGGCTTGTTGATGCAGGAAGTACGTTTTCTTGTATGAGGTGCACAGAATTACCCATCTTCAAGCTGAAATTTTTCCCAGAGGTCTTTATATGTCTTCCTAAGCACAAATGTTTGGTAAAATATGCACATGACCTTGGCTCTTCTTTCTTTTTATTTCCTCTTCAGTTGTAAAAGGATACGTGTATTCCTCCTTCCTAAAGCACTACAATCCAGCAAGAGTGCAGAAAGTGGATGCAGAAAACAGGTTCTGTGATGACGACTTTGATAACATCAGCCTATTTGTGTCTTCTCGGCCAGCTAGCGACAGTGTCACAGGCACCCCAGAAGGCAGCATAAGTGATAGCAGCTCATCTCTTAGTGGTACATGTGGAAAATCTGAAATAAATGGCACTGACATTGACAGTTTTCAAGAGGTAGATGAGCAGGTAAGAATTTGAACCTGGATGTAAAAAGGTTTCACTGATCGAATCATGGAGAATATTCTTTGTGTTCTATATTACTGTGAGACTTATTGAAAATGTGTAAACAGCATCCAGTCCAGGTTGTCCTAACTCTTACATCCTGTGTAACTTTTTTGGAACTAGTTTAATTTTTGAGACTGTCTCCTCAAGTGAGGGAAAGAGGACAATGATTCTTATTTTGTAGTGTTGTGTTGATGTAAGGATTAGAGATCACTGTGTGCATGTAAAGGACACAGGACAGAGTAGACATTCAATATAAAGTAGCCTGCTGTCACACACTGCTGCTTGTTGTTGTTGTTAGGTGCCCTCAAGTCGGTACTGACCCATAGTGACCTTATGCACAGCAGAACGAAACACTGCCCCATCCTGGGCCAACCTCACTACAGTTGCCACGCTTGAGTCCATCGATGCTGCCACTTGGTCAATCCATCTCGTTGGGGGTCTTCCTCTTTCTCTCTGACTCTCCACCTTACCAAACATGATATCCTTCTCCAGTGACTGGTCCTTCCTGACAATATGTCCAAAGTATGAGAGACGAAGTTTGGCCATTTTGGCCTCCAAGAAGCACTCTGGTTGCACTTCTTCCAAAACGGATCTATTGATTCTTTTGGCAGCCATTGGCACTTTCAATATTCTCCTCCAACACCATAACTCAAAGGTATCAATTCTTCTATGGTCTTCCTTATTCACTGTCCAGCTTTCATAGGCATATGAGGTTATTGAAAACACCATGGCTTGGGTCAGGTGCACCTTAGTCCTCAAGCTGACATCTTTGCTCTTCAACACTTTAAAAAAGGTCTTGTGCAGCAGATTTGCTTAATGCAATATGTCATTTGATCTCTTGGCTGCTGGTTCTGTGAGTGTTGATAGTGGATCTAAGAATTAACTCCTTGACAACTTCAATCTTTTCTCCCTTGATAAGAATGTCGTTTATTGGTCCTGTGGTGTGGATTTTTGTTTTCTTGACATTGAGATGTAATCCACACCAAAGGCTGTGCTCTTTGATCTTCATGAGTAAATATTTTAAGTCCTCTTCACTTTCAGCAAGCAAGGTTGTATCATCTGCATATCACAGACTGTTAATGAGTCTTCCTCCAATCCTGATGCCACATTTTTCTTCATAGAACCCAGCTTCTCGGATTATTTGCACAGCTTAGAGTGAAGCAAAGATGTTCTTTTTATATTCTCCCATCAGTTCAAAGCAGTTTAATACTGCACAAATTGCTATCAGTAACATGTGGGGTTTGTTCCTGTTTTCTCTAAGAGCAATATCTTCATTGAACTATCTAGTAATTAATCATTTTATATAGACCATATTCCTGTCACTCATCTGTCAATTTGTCATACTGTGATGGTTTACATGTCCCTGTTTTTCTGGAAGCTATGCCACCAGTATTTTAAATACCAGCAGGATCACCCATGGTGGACAGGTTGCAACAGAGCTTATAGAATAAGCTAGACTAAGAAGAAGGACCTGGTGACATGCTTCTAAAAAAACAAATTGATTAGTGAAAGCCTTGTGAATATTATCTGATAGAGTCTCAGAAGATGGGGCCCTTAGTTTGGGAGGCACTCAAAAGATGACTGGGGAAAAGTTGTCTCCTAGATGTAGAGTTGACTTTACTAACATGGATGTAATAAAACTTTTGGGACCTTCATTTGCTAATTGGAAATGACTCACTTGAGAAGAAATAGCTGAAGGCAACCACTAATCATAATGCAGAATGTACAAAGAATTAAACTAGGAAAATTGGAAATAATTTAAAAATTAAATAGAATGCATAAGATCAATATCCTAGACGTTGTTATTGTTGTTAGGTGCCATTGAATTGGTACCGAATCATAACGACTCCATGCACAGCAGAACAAAACACTGCCCGATCCTGGGCCAACCTCAGAATTGTTGCCAGGCTTGAGCCCATTGATGCTGCCACTTTGCCAATCCATCTCACTGAGGTTATTCCTCTTTTTCTCTGACCCTCCACCTTACCAAACATGATATCCTTCTCCAGCGACTGATCCCTCCTGACAATATGTCCGAAGTATGAGAGATGAAGCTTGGCCATGATTATATAAAAAGATTATGAGTCAGGCTGCTAACCTGAAGGTCAGCAGTTCAAAACTACTAGCTGCTCCGCAAGAGAAAGATGAGACTTTCTGCTCCCATAAAGATGTACAGCCTTGGAAACCCTGTTCAGGGTTGCTATGGGTCAGAACCAACTTGACAGCACTTAACAACAACAACATGATGATAATACTATGTGTTGAGTATGTATCATTGTTGAGTATGTATCATTGTTTAGAAAATTGATAGACGGTATGAGGATGTATTCAAGTAGTCATAAAGTAGAGGATACTTTCAAGAGATCTTTATTGACATGAAATATTTTAAATATATTTGAAATGAAAAACATTTTATACAAATTATGCATATTATAATATTGTTATTACTACTTTAAAGAGATAAATATGAAAGAGGAATATAAAAAGGGAGAGAGAAATAGAAGAAAGGAAATAAAGAAAACATGATGCTAATAGCAATTGGGTATTTTTTTTTTTTTTTTTAGGTATCTTCATTTAAAATTATTTCTTTATAAAATTATTTACATAATAAAAATGATAATTATTAACTGAAGAACTTAAAAACTCAGCTCCTTTTGAAACATTTTTTTCTTGGTTTCCTGAGCTATATATTATACTATAAATGTTGTTTTTATAGTATTTTGGTTTGGGAAATGAAGATTGAAATACATTATAATTTTTGCTGTTGTTAATTGGAAAACTGGGGTGAAATCAATAAACGAGATTCAGTGAAGACAAGTAATGGAATTTGCTAAGGGAGGAATCATTATATATGCACAAATATAGAATACAGAATTGCTGAACTAGCAATGGTCTGTAGGAAAAGTTCTGATGGTTATAAACAGGGTAATAAATTGAATATGAGTCAATAATACAGCAGAGTTATAAAATAAGTAAAAATTCTGAAGAACTAGACTGCATTCATAGAATATTGTAATTAAAAGAACCAGAAATTCACAGAGTACAAAGAAGTAACCAATAAAAAATATTTTTTATAAATGCGAAGGGGGGGGGAGATGACTAGATGATTATGTGTCAAATTAATAACATGCTAATTAATGTATCTGTGTTAAACCATATTGTTGTTGTTGTTTAAGTGTCGTCGAGTCGGTTGCGACCCTATACAGGGTTTCCAAGGGTGTAAATCTTTACAGTAATAGAAAGCCTCATCTTTCTCCCGTGGAGCGGCTGGTAGTTTCGAACCTCTGACCTTAAGGTTCGCAGCCCGATTCGTAACCACTACGCTACCAGAGCTCCTAACATTTAAAATTAGAGAGTTACAGCCTAGTATAGTTAAAATGATCAAAAGAATAAGAAATCCTTCAACCTTTAAATCCATGATTGGTTGGTTGGTTATGTTCCATGGATTCAGTTCTGACTCATAGAGACCCTGTATAGGGTTTCTGAGGCTGTAACTCTTTACAGAAGCAGAAAGCCTCATCTTTCTCCCATGGAACAGCTGCTAGTTTCGAACTGCTGACCTTGGTGTTCACAGCCCAATTCGTAATCACTACGCTACCAGAGTTCCTGTGTTGTTGTTGTTGATGATTAAGTACCATGGAGTCAGTTCCAACTCACAGTGACCCTTCACAGGGTTTCCAAGGCTGTAAATCTTTACAGGGAACAGAAAGCCTCATCTTTCTCTGGTGGAATAGCTGGTAGTTTCGAACTGCTGATTGTGAGGTTAGTATCCCAATTCGTAACCACTGCACTACCAGAGTTCCTTTAGTAGCCCAAATTGTAACTTGTAGTGTAACAGTATCAATTGCTCTTTTACTTATATTTTGAGTATCTCATGTTAAGTAGAGGCATAATCACACTTTGTAAAAACTGAAAAATGCTGTTTGCTCAGTTTACAGATAAAATAAGCATGGTGAAAGAATACAGGCCTGGCACATACCTTTCCTGATTTTAAACTATTCAGTATCCCTTTGTTCTGTTAGAAATTACTGTCTCTCTTGGTCTATATACAGGTTAGTATATTTGTAGGTAATCCAAACTGATGAGTAATCTATAGCTGCAGAGGTAAAGTTTATTATTTTTCTCAAAATACAAAAGATGACTAGTAAATGCTGATATAGATTAATGAAGAAGCTGTATTGTAGTACATAAATGTTGCTGAATGATCTTGCAAACCACACTCTCCAGTCTGCTCTTGTGGGTCTGTTCAGTGTTTTCTTTTTCTAAACCGCAACAACAAAAACAGCAGCAGTGGAAGCAACACATTAGGAACATCACTCCCTTTCCACAGAATCCATTCTCTGCATACCTTTGCAAAAACAGTGGTTCCAAATGCATAATGAAAATTGGTCGAGCATTGTTGTTTTTGTTAGGTGCTGTTGTGTCAATTCTGACTCATGGGGATCCCATGTGCAACACTGCACTTTCCTTTGCCATCCTCACAATTACTACATTTCAGTTCATTCATTGTTGTAGCTAAGGGTCTTCTTTTACACTAACCCTTTGTTTTACCAAACATGGTGTTTTCTCCAGGGTCCCTTCTGATAATATGTCCATAGTATATGAGATGAAGTTTTGTCATCCTAACTTATTTATTTATTTTTTATTATGAATTGAGTGAAGGTTTGCAGAGCAGATCATCAGTTTTACTTTCAATAAATCATACACTTCATTTCATTGAAATGATTGCTATCCCCTCCATGTAAGAGCAGTTATCCCACTTCTTCCCTATGGCTCTTATTTCCATTCCACCCTTCATTCCAACCCTTCTGAACTTTGTGCTAACGTAAATAGTGCCATTTCTCTTTTGCCATCCTAACTTCTAAGAAGTATTTTAACTATACTTCTTCCAAGACAGATTTGTTTGTTCTTCTGGTTTGTTGTTGTTGTTAAGTACCATGGAGTCAGTTCCAACTCATAGT